GAGTGCCTGGAGGCGGGTGAACCAGGGCAACTGTTTCCCCAGTGACGTTAAAAGATGTGGAAGACGTTTCATGGCCGTTTGGGACTGTTTGAGGGGAGACACAGGAAGGGTTTGACTTCAGAATGAGGGCGGGACTGGGAGTGCTAAGCGTCCTCATGCTCAAGTCCGAATCTGAAAGAACAAGAAAAATCATAAATACTAGCCCCTCCCCCTCCGCTAGTGTACAAAGTGTCCAAAATTCAACACTTCTTTTTATTGGTTAAGTGCACTTTTCTTTATAGAGTTTTCAGTGTGAATGCACTACTCTCATTATTTATACTACAAAAAGGCATAGACTAGTGTGCAAGTACGCAAATAGGAAGACATGCCCCTCTTAATGTTGCTGCTTGTGATAAGCCACACATCATGTTCTCACGCAGTTAAAAATACATTGTGGAGCAAAGAGGACACTGACAACGTGCTGACAGACATGACAGAGTAGGTTACTTTTGATATGAATCGAAGTCTCAGCTTTCAAATTTTGTCTATACCATTTTGTGGCTCTTTAATGTGTCGTGACAGATCGCTTTAGCGGCTCAGTTCACGTGCCACATGAACCGATCATCTCGTCCTCTTTACCACTAGTAATAGCACAAAATAAACTTGAATTAACACGTTTCAACGTGGAAAGGTGTTAATACACACCATTTTTCAAGTTTAAGTCCACACAAATGTATCTACCAACTCTGTCTGGTTTGTTTATCAGACTAAATGGCAGATTCTGTGTAATGATTGGTCAGATGGCCTTTCAATCAAACTCCCGGCGAAAGGTGAATTATTTCAACTAGACATCAATGGGATTAAATGGAAAGCAAATGCATCTCAGATTTGAGAAAGTAAATTAGAAAAATAATGTAATTTACTAGAGAACCTGATTCTTGTTAGGAGATAATCTGATAACACATTAAATGTCTAGAAGCACAAAGGATCCCAAATATGGAAGCCATCAACTGGTTTGAGACACACGTTTAGCACAAATGGTGTTAACTCAAGAAACACTCTTGGCCTCTTTGTTCTCAAAACTGTTTCCGTTATTGGACGCTGATAAGTGTCAAGTTTATCTCAAATGCACTTGAAGTGCTTGCCACGGTTGAGTCTGCATTAATGGTGAAGCTTTCATTCTTTGCAGATGTTTCACTGATTTGGAAATGATCAAGAGGAAGACTGGGTGGTACGGTAGATAGCTTGAGAGTTCTCTGCTAGATCTCACCGTAACCGTAGATTGCGACTGGGACCCCTTGTCTTGTATTTTTATTTTCTATACGACATAAACTGGCTCGTAACTGGCTAAAAAAGGTTTAGCTCAAAATGTTGAAACAAGGCAATACCAACACCAAAGATGACAACATGATAAATATAATGAGGTCATGTGACAACAATATACTACTCTTCAAAGTGTTTGCTGCATCACATTTAAAGGGACAGTTCACCCAAACATTCTTTCTTTCTTCTGTTGAACACAAAAGATGATATTTTGAAGAATGTTAAACAGCATCCACTGATACTATGGAAGTCAATGGCTACCGTCAACTGTTTGGTTACCAACATTCTTCTGTGCTTTATACATTTTACAGAAATTTCGCTAATGTGACTATACCATAACGCATACTACTTTGTTTTAAATTCATTGTTTACTGAATATTACGCTTTATTCATTCCACATAGTTTCAAAGTGAGCACATATTATGAATAAATAAACAGCAATATCATTTGTTACATAAATTATAAATTATTATTATTTATTATTTAGTCATTTATTAGAGGCTTTTATCCAAAGCGACTTACAAATGAGCACAACAGAAGCAATCAATTGTAGTATTAAAACAACTAAAAACAGATCCCAAACTAAAAGCTAAAACTTTATAAATACTACCTATACACATTTTAAAAATAAAGAGATTAAATAAAAATGACAAATGCATACAACAAAATTTCAAAACTTAACATGTAAATGAAAAACAAAAAAATAAAGCTAAAAACAATTCAAAATATTAAAGAACAAAAGGTATAAGAGTATAATAATGATTCTAACATAACACTAAGCCAAACACCAAAAAACAATTCCAACCAATGTACAACCATACACACATACATATACTGTATATATATATACACATTTATAAATTCAATTTTCGTTTCCATTTAGTTTGTTGGAGTATTAAAATAACTCAAATTAAATAAAACTAAAACTTAATAAAAGACCTATACAAACATAATAAATTCAGACATAATTTAACTAAAATTAAAATAAATAACAAATACAAATAATACAAATCAAATGACAGTAGTTTATCAGTAATCCTAAAAACAATAACACTGCCAAACTTACATGCTAAAAAACAACAACTTACTTACACAGAGTAAGAAATGGTAATAAAAACTGAGACAGAAGTGAAACATAAAATCATAAATTTATAAATCATAAAGTAACAGTGAAACGCTGTTATGCAACTGATATCTCGCCACTGACTTACAATTAATAACAATCTTTTCTCCTTAGGTCAGTGTGGGGCTGAACAGGTTTACTGTGTGGGTTTGCGTTTAGGAAACTGGTTCATAAGCCAGTCATAAACTGAAAGATAATGAAGAGAATTATTAGGGTGGGAAAGAGTTTATAATAAGCTCTTGTCTTCCCTTCCTCTCTATTTCACCTCCTTGTCAAGCCTCCTCCACAAAAATGAGTACAAAGGATGAGAGAATGGGAGCAAAACATTTCCAAAGTCTGTCGTTTGGATTCATGGATTCCCATCCCTAAACTCTCGATTAATAGCCCTGCTAAGCTTCAGGATGGTTCTTCTGAGGAAGTGAGGGTTTATGTGTAATGATGCTTTCTGTACAGGAAGTTTTCTTTAGGAAGGAACTTCGGTGGCTCAGATCCTGACATGATGGATTAGTTTAAACAGAATTTTCCTCTGCAAGCCACTTTTTGCATGCAAGATTGCATTTATAAACGCTACATTAACAGTCTTCAGTACTAAAATGAATTAAACACCGTCACACAAAAGGTGTAATAAACTCAAATGTATATATGAAATACAGAGTTCTGGCATGAAACTCTAGATGGCGCGGTCCGATAGGTCTAGCTCAATCTGACCTGGTGACATCATTGTCACATGGCAGCTGATTCGTTCTCTCCTGTATCGGTAGCCAATGAGCTCGCTGCTCAATATTCAAATACCTGGCTTTTGTTTGCTGTAGCAGTTGACAGTGCACTTCAGAAACCCTCCACCTTCCCCAGCTCCACCTGTATAGATCTGCTACGAGGTGATTCATGTATGCTATATAGGGGTTAGTTCAAATATATATATACAGTATATATATGTATGTGTGTGTGTGTGTGTAAATTTATATTCAATAATACAGTTCATAATATACAGAGGTACATGTTTTAAAATATGGTACTGTGTGTGTATAAATATATTTGAACAAATGTTGTATGTTCACATTTATGTGGGGAATTCGAAAATTCAATACTTGTGCGGAAATCTGATTATGTTTTCATCAATTCATCAATTACATCAGAGATCATTGATACCTGCTGACCATAGAAGAAGACAGTCTAGACTATAGCTGACTACAGCGCCTCCTGTGGCAATACTGAGAATGCAGCACACACTCAACCATGAAAGACCTAATATAGCGTCTGTTTTAACATGATCTATTCCAACGTCTCAACTATTAGCTCATATTAAAATGTTTCTTTTGGAAAGACCGAATAAATGGAGACGATAACAGCTGGCACAATGATACTGATGCATTCATTTCTTCTGATTATTATTCCAGTACTGCGTCTGTGACAACTGTGGTATTTGTGGAACGGCTCCCACTTTTGCTCTATAAATACACTCTGCTCGAGCTGTTTGCATAATATCAATATATTAAACCAGGGCCTGTTTTGACTGTGCAACTGCTGGCTGTCTAACAGCACTAAAAATCCACTGCAGGACAAGTTGACAGACCGAGTAAACAGATTTTACAGAAGGGGCTCTGAATTACTTCTCCTGTGACCTTCAGTACAGACTTTCTGAGCGGCCACAACCGGCAGCAGCTCACAGATTCAATCAGCTTCAGGCTTAAAGAGGAAAACACAGGGAAAGATGAAGGATTTGAGAACGGCACCGAGGGAATTCGCTGCTAGATCCCCTGCTTTGCTCTGCAACCGAACCGGCGGTTCTGGGTGGTCCATTCATATCGCGGTTCCCTAGGGATGCATAGCATGCAATACAGTCAGTATCTATGGATTTGGTGCACACAGCTGGAACGAGTCACTGGTTCGCACTGTTGGTGTAATGGCTCATTACCAAACTGCCCATCAAATATCCCAACGAACCACTCAAAGACTGACTCAGCTCACTGCAGAGCACCGGCTTTCATACTTGGGATTCCTGTACAAAAACCATGATGATGACCATCGGTCCCACAAGCCCATGTGTTTATTCAAGCACTCTATAAACAATGGAGCAGACTTTGGCTAGTATCCAGTGTTTATGGATGTGTCCTTTGTTTAGGCGATGTATTGACCCCAAGCTTATTCGGGATGACCGTGGAGCGCTGATGCTAAATGAACCGCTCTCTTTAAAACCAGCGTGAGACAGAATGCACAGCATTCCAGCGCTCTTGCGCCGCGGGTCATTTGGGAAATTCAACACACGTCTGTCACAGAAACATGCCACAATGAGATTTAAATCACAGTTCTTTATATATGTGTTTGAAAGTTTGCTTTACTTGACTATTTGATCTTTAAAGTTGCCTATTTAGAGGGAACTCCTTACGAAATACATTATTATAAAATAAAAGCACAAAAGCTGTCACTGGAGCGGCACCTTTTCAAAAGGTACACTTTTGTACCTTATTTACTCCTAAAGGATGTATATTAGTACATTAAAGGTACATATTAGTTTACCTTTTGAACAGGTACCACCCCAGTACCTGTTTTTTTTTTTCTCGGAGAGTGTATTAACAGTCTGTTCCAGTAATGTTTTGGTATTATTTACATGCTATTGTAGACTTTGAAATAAATTGATTTTTATATTTTCAGTATTCATTATCATTTTCACGCTTTAGTAATTTTGCTTTTGTCATTTTATGATTTTTTTAAAATAATTATTGTCACGAATCCAGTCTATGAACTT